GAAGAGGAAGTGAGGTCAGACTCTGCTCTGCTCCCGGAGAGACCCGACAGCTCTGCTGGAGCAGAGACGCCATGCTCAGCTCTCCTGGGTAGACGCGATAGCTCTGCTCTCTGAGGCACACGCGATGAAGATGGACATAGGCTAGAATCTTCCTGGTAAGCGCACCTTGGGGTGCTTAAAACATTACTAGAAATGGGCTAGTCCAGGTGCGAGAATTAGCCTGTAAGGGCTAGAGTTCATGGGCCAAGCAGTTCTTTAAATGAATACAGTTTGTGTGTTGTTATTTCGGGCATGAGCTAGCCAAGAGGCTGGGGTGTTGGGGACGCAGCCCCGCCGCTCATATTTCAACAAAACTTTATTATAAAAAGCATTGAAAAAAATCTCACACTGAAACGAACTAGATCGAAAGACTGCACAATTCAATGAACGTTCATACTGTTAAGAGTATCCGTTCAAAAGTAGAGCTGTGGTGTTTCAAACTGGGGTTTTCACTTTCACTCTCAAGCATGTTTTTATGCACTTATCCACTGTTGGCTCCAGAGGCTCCCTATCAGCAGCTGCACCCCCACTTGGGGTTGAGAACTGAGCTCTGAAGACTCTTATCTGCTGAACGATGAAGTGTATACCTTGTTAGACACATGTTTTCATGGGGTAGCCATCACTAGAACAACTGTAAACACATTCTAAAATCTGCTAATTGCTAAATCAGATTATTATTATTATTAAATATTTATTTATTTACTATGTACACAATGTTCTGTCTGTGTGCATGCCTGCAGGCCAGAAGAGGGCACCAGACCCCAGTACAGATGGTTGTGAGCCACCATGTGGTTTCTGGGAATTGAACTCAGGACCCTTGGAAGAGCAGGCAATGCTCTTAACCTCTGAGCCATCTCTCCAGCCCCTTATTATTATTATTATTATTATTATTATTATTATTATTATTAAGACAAGGCTTTGAACTAGGGGCAATCCTCCTGCCGTCCGCTCAAGCTGGGATTGCAGGCATTAGACACCACCACACTTTTACCAAAATTAGTTCCTAAGTAGTTAACCAGCAGGAAAAGAGATTAAAAAAAAAAAAAAAAAAAAAAAAACCGTCCCAAACCCAGACAGCTGTATCTCCTGTCTGGGCTCGTGTGCTGTGTGCTCTGGTGGGTGTGACTAACGGCAATCTATCTTCCAAGTTCTCATCAACAGAGGTTACTCTGATTTATGATTTTGGACTTAAAAGCCGAGAAGCAATGCACACAAGTGAGTTAGCAGAGTCCTTGTTCTTTCCTGAGCCCCTCTTCCTCCAGCGCTAAATAAGACGTAGGCTCACTCGGTTTTTTTGTATGATTAGATTCAGGGACTGATTAAAGGGAGCAGCCTATCCACACACTTCACATAGTGGGAAAAGAGATTTCTTCCTGCAGAAGGCTCCCACCTCATACCAAGGACGGTCAGACCCAGTTAGTTCTAGTCTTCCCGCACACTGACCAAAGCCCATTCTCTTCGCTGACTGCTCAGCTGGGTTCCTTACGTGTTTGCCGAAATCATTATCTGACTTCACGGCACAGTGATCATTTTATCATGCTTTGTACACCTATCCTAGCCTCCCTACAAAGTATGAATCAAGGAGATCATTCGCCTGTGTTCTTCCCGGATTTTGGATCAGGAAGTAGAACTGCCAAGCACGTTCAGAGCAAAAGATTTTAAAAAGAGCTAGTATGCCATCAGCATTCTTTGTGTGGATGATGCTCAGAGGACGTGGGCCTTAAAACTAAGGTTCTCTTTCCCAATCTCGAACTCAAGGTTAAGTTGCTTTTCTTCCACACGGTCGCCCCGAAAGTCACCAGGGTTTCTGGAATAGGGACTTCGGCTGAGGCACACGCTCCCGGAAGTCAGCAGGTGCACAGACTGATCAGGTGTCTGTCCTCCCACTCGGGTCGGCCGCGCACGCCGACTTGCTGACCCCAAGTCTTTTACCGGAGAAACGAGGGACCCATAGACTTTCCATTTACCAGGGAACGCCGCCCTCGAACTCCAGGATCGGCACTTGGAACCCATGAAGACGCCGCCGGCTCGGACTACATATCCCGAGAGGTCCCGCGCCGGCGACCGCTGATTGGTTGCTTCGCAGGGCGCGGGGAGGGGGCGCGAGCTGGGGGGTGGTAAGGAGAGACGGGGTTGGGGAACGCGCAGTGTGCGCGTGCGCGCGGCGGGCGCGATGGCTGCGCTCAGCGGGCTGGCTGCTCTCCGTGCAGGGCGCCGTCTGTGGAAGCTTCCTGCGCGCCCGTCTGCGGGGCTCCCGGGCTGCTGGCTCCGGAGGGGCTACATCGTGGGCCGCGCTGAGGTGAGGACGAGCGGGTTCTGCCCAGCGCTCAGGGCTGGCGGGCGGGAGGGCCGTGCGGGCCACTGAGCATCCCGGCCTCGGGGACACCCTCCCGGAGACCGTGGAGCCGCTGAACCCTTCGTCCTTCCCGGAGCGCCTTCCGCCCGCTGGAAAAGGCCGTGTCCGGGGAGACCCATACAGACCCCAGATCAGCCTCGGGAGGGTTCGCAGCTCCTTCCCGCGCGCCAGGAAAGTTTCTTAGCAGTTAATTCGTTTCTGCTGTTCGAAGAGCCCGCGGAGTCTTGTTTCTGGAAAGGTAACTGCTTTGGATGTGACTGGTACACTCTACGGCTCAGTTGTGCAGCCTTTAAGGCAAAAAGAGTCATTAATTTTGTTATTATTATTATTTCTGTGTGTGATATATACGCGGGCACACGTGTTGGAGCTTGGAGAACAACTTTGGGGTTCTCGCCTTCCAGTGTGTGTTCTGTGGTTGGAACTCAGGTCAGGACGCTTGCACCGCATTTAACAGCTTAGCCCTCTTGCAGGCCCTTAATTTTTTTTTTTTTTAAGCATTGTGAGTTTCCAAATATAAAAAGAATACGAATCTCATATTTTTATCTTCCAAATAACCAGTCGCTGTATATTGGTGCATCTGCTTATCTCTGCCCCTTTGTGGCTGTGAGACTTTAAATCCCGGAGTTTTTATCATTTCAACCCTGAACTGTGTGTGGGCCTCCAAAAAGGACGTTTTGAGCTGAATCACAATGCTCTTACCATGCCTAACCAATGTCAACTTATTTTGAAATTATAAGTGAATGGATTTTTGTTTGCTTGTGTGGGATGTCTCACTATGTTCCCTGACTGACCTGGAGCTCACTCTGTAGACCAGGCTGGCCTCAAATCTTTGATGCTCCTCCTGCCTCTGCCTCCTAGGTGCTAGGATTTCCAGTAGGTGCCACCAGGCAAATGGGTTTTTAAGCTTAAATGTTCAGAATGCTGTTGCCTGCATCCAGAGCAGTGTTCCCTGATTTTGCAAGGGGACAGAAATAAAATTGAACTGTTAAAAGTGACAGATTAGCCTTTTGAGAGTCACCACTGCTTCCTTTGGGAGGCGTCTCAAGGGAAAGGTCTGCCATATTTTCCCCCCAGACATCATGGCTGAGCACACGAAGGGGTTGTTCATGGCAGGTGTGTGGGGAGATCATGTCCCCTCGTCTGTTCAGACCTATGTGCTGATTCTCTCTGAGAAGAGTGAGATGAGGAAATCGGAAAAGAGCTCTGGAAAAATAAAAATACCAGGGCTTGCCAGTCAGTGGTGGTGCACACCTTTAATGCCAGCACTAGGGAGGCAAAGGCAGGAACTCTGTGAGTTCAAGGCCAGCCTGGGCTACAAGAGCTAGTTCCAGAACAGCTAGAACGGTAATACAGAGAAACCCTGTCTCAAAAAAAAAAAAAAAAAAAAAAAAAAAAAAA